CCCTGCACCTACCAGCTAGATCTGCACCTACCCCCTGCACCTACCAGCTAGATCCGCCACAGAGTGGTAAATTAAACTTGATGATTGTGATGCCGCCATCATGATCATGCCAATTGAAGGTTGTTTGACCTATGCACCAACATGTTCTACAATAATAAAACACATACAACAAGAACCACTTCGCGAAACATACCGTGTCCAGTTTGCCGTGAAATATATATTTTTACCGCGATTTGATAGATTTTGCGTATGATCTTTTAACATCATTTTTTGTGTTGTTTTTTTTTTTGAATATTTTTATCATTCAGATTGCATTCAGATTGCATTTGCATTATCCTCAGAGAATTTATAAGATGAAAGTTTAGTTTGTATAAAATGATTTTAGAAAGGAAAAAGGAACGAGTATATTTTAAAGTTAAAAAAAGAAAAAAAAATGTTTAGAAGCTGCTCGAGTCCGAGATCGTCAGTTCAACGCCGCTATTCAAGTATGATCTTGCGTGTAAAATATGTAAAACAAATATCTACAGGAAAAATCGAAAAAGTATATTTCAGTAAAAAAAAGAAGGGAAGAAAAAAGAATCGCTTAGAAGTGATTGAGTCAATCTAACCCGTGATCCTAATTTCTACGCTATYCGAGTACGATAGTCTTTGTAAAAGTAAAATAATGGCTCGAAAATAATTGTTAAACGAATATCTACAGAAAAAAGTCAACGTGAATCTAACAACTTAATTTCAGTTAAAAAGAAAGACAAAAATGAGTCGAGAATCAAGGCCGCGAACCTAATTCGAAGCTATTCAAGTATTTATAATATTCTGTGTAAAATCAAAATAATGGCTGAAAAATAATTATTAAACAAAATCTACAGAAAATCAAGATGACTTTAACAACTATATTATATAAACAAACAAGGCAAATTGCAAACATTGGCGCCCACCATAGCTATAGTAAATGAACAGCTTGAGCTATCTGTAGAGCTATCTTCTTAGCCTCTGTACATCCAGTTTACACTGGATGAAACTCGGACTATAATCTTGTCACCTGCAATGGCATGATGATATATTGGTCATCTCTGAGACTGCATGGCTMATTTGCATTCAATATTATCACTATGGTAACAGTTAGCCCAGTTCTATATGTAGTGTTATRAATTACTCGGTTGTCGATTACGAATGACTGAGTTAATCATCGTGTATAAAAGTTTTATAGATGTGTTCATTATGCTAGCATGCTTACTGTAAACGATGAAGATCTCTACACCGATGCAATCTTGGCGTGTCTGGACAAATACTCGACACAAATCGACGAAGATTTAGAATTTCAGTTGTTGAATTCAAAGCGTGATTTTCACCACGAAGAGATCTGTGGTTGGACCGTATCGCCGTGTGATATCAATCGCTTCAGATGGAAYCAACAGCGCAAAACTTTGAAAACTCCTAACAGAGACTTCAAGACAGTACGGCGAAGTAGTTTTCGGCAAGATATAGACTATAAATTTAAACATTATCGTCATGCAAATAGCTACATGGACCAGTACAGAAACGACAAGATACAACGACTAGACATATGGCAAGACGTCAAGAAATCAGAGTTGTGTGAAGTTTGTTGTGAAACTACTCCTGTTGTTTGTGAATCTAAGTCGCCTTCTACAGCTGTTCCACCAACCCAAAAGATTGCAAGACCTTTGCCGCTATTTCGAGGAAGTTTATACGGCAGTCAAATTTCCAAGTGGTAAGAATTTTTGTTTACATTGGGCGGGCAGCTGAGCAGTTGCGACAAGATTTCTAGAAATCATGTAATACTGAATTGTACTTTTTTTCACTTTTATATTTATAATATATATTGACTAAATATATAGCGGAATGACAATGAGCAAGACTGATTAGGACTCAACTGCTAAAAGCAAAGGCAAATATTCCACAATAGTGCAGCTTCATCAAATAAAGTAATTAATTTCTCGCGTTACAAGCTCATCGAACACAAAACAAATAGCTGCCTCTATTGTTTACTTTTTTGTCCACGTTTTGTATAGACAAGGGGAGTGAAGTTAAAAGAACTACGTACAAATACCAAAATATTATGCTGCAGTACGTAATTTGCTAATTCGATGACTTGACCGGTTAGTCTTGGCCTGTTCAGTCTGTTTTCATAATTTCATGGCACCGCTAAGGGATTATCGAAAATTAACTTCTTTTAAGAAGTCGTTAATTTTACAGCATTAGATTGTCAGTTTGGCGTATAGTAAAAACCCGGGTATAAGAACAAGTGGATTAAGAACACCCAGGCCTGATTTTAGGAAATAAAGTACCGTTTATATAAAGAACACATTCAGCCTGAAAAATGAAAGCTGTTCTTATATGAAAACATAGTATCAACACTACTTTTCATTTTACACATTGATTTATCTTTTTTTTTAATTAAAATAGTTACATCATTGTATTGATCACTTAAAATTTGGTAGCAGAGTATGTTTCTTATTTTAAGAAAAATTTTTAAGAACACTTTTAAAAAACACTTAGAGGCTGATTTTGCAGATTATATTCCCTTTATATAAGAACCAAATCAGCCTGAAACGCCAAAATAGGTGTTCTTATACGCGGGTTTTTACTGTATGTACAATACTATTGCCTATCATAATTCATAATGAGGTGTTCTTATACGCGGGTTTTTACTGTATGTACAATACTATTGCCTTTATCATAATTCAATATTAATATAGCTTGGGTCAGCTGGGTCAACTCATGTCAACTGATTCGAAATTTCTGTCATACCAAGTTTCCATTAGGAGAGGCGAACACTTTGCTGTATTTCTGTTGTTCTAGATGATTTACCTTTCTTTTTATTAAAGAAAAAATATTCAGTTCCAAAGTCGCAAAGCGGTATTTCGAGGTAAAAAAAACTGCGCGGCGATTTAAAAACTCAACTAGACGCTCCTGGAGCGTGAAGTCGGACTAGCTATTTTTGAAAATTAATAAAGACACGAGTGAAAGTTTTTAAACACGATAAGATTATGATGTTATGTTCTGTCTAATCATATGATTATATTATGAATGTAAATTATGGCGTAGAATATATATTTTTTACTTCTGATACATAGTGAAAGGAAGAATGCGTTACTTTMACTTTAATTAATGTACTGTTCAAAACCGTTTATTCACACGATATGATACTTCTTTTGACTGCTCTCTGCAACGACTTCAAAACGATAGAAATCTAGATTTGACCTAAAAGGTCATGTAAGTAATACCCTGCGAACAACTTACAACTGAACTGATAAAATTTAGATAGACTAAATGTCGCTAAGTGATATCTAAAACGTTTTTAATTGTTGATCTCTTAGGCCAAAGAAAATTAATTAAATATTTTATTTAAAAAATGCGCGTACTTCTGATGCCTAGACTGATGTATTCCGATGAGACCACAGATACCACATTTGTAAACGAATAGGTTTTTTAAMKCATAAAAGGGCAAGTAGAATCCAACATTTCCTGACGATATTTGTACATCTATACGTTTAAGCTTCCGGTCATRTAATAACACAGCCAACCCAATAGTTAATTATTGAATTCTTAACTTCCGGTGGTCCAAACGCGACATGACACATAGATAGATAGATATATTGGCTAAAAGGTAAAACTTAAGTCGACCTAGCCTTCGGCTAGTCCATAGTTAATATTAACTATGGCTAGTACGACTAATTAATCTTTCAAGATTTATAGATGATTCCTTGAGTTTTTAGGAGCGCGTAGTTTTTTTTGGCACTGAATTTTTTTTTTTTTGCCGAAAGCTTGGATATTTGAACAGAATTTAGTTCGGCGTTTGACGGCCCCTATTGTGGCATAGCCACACTGCGCGAAACCATGGTACAATTTTTTTTAGTGTGCAGAATCATATTTTGTTTTCAATTATGGAGTACTTCTGGGGAAAATTGAGTGATTTATGCACTAGTCAATTGAAACCCCCGCCCCCCGGGGCTAGCGGGGCACTGAACAGGAACGTGACGCATTTTTAACGTGCTTTTAACAGCAAGATAGCTGGTCGGGATTTTGATAAATTGCTTTCGAAGCGGGACAAAGAGCGGGGATTTAACGCGCGTTTGAGCATGTATAAGGCTGGAAACTAGAGGTCGACCATCTTGAGAAATACCCTGAAAGCATTGGTATTCAATCCTCATTTTTATTTGTGTATTTTTCCTTGCATGAAAATKTTTTTTAAAGAAACTTATTACACATGTTTTTAACCGTCCATCAAGGCAAGGCAACAGTAGCGGGGATTTAATAATGAATGTGCCCCGACTACCGGGGAAAATGTTTCATTTTAACATTACTCAAACTTTAAATCCTTCGGTATTCCCCGGGAGTCAGGGGGCGGGGGTTTCAATTGCCTAGTGCATTACCTTGAAGATTATTTCCTCATGAGATCGATGACTTTATGATTAAATCTATGAATTTTCAGCAAAGATGTTTATACAGACAACGGGGCCATCTCTAATAGCAAGCAGCCTAGAGGATTGCAGGTACATGACTGATTAACAGCATGGATGATTCAACATTGACATTGATTGACAGCGCAGTGGGAATGATTGATAGGATGAATGGCTGGAATGCCTGTGTGTTAGGGACTGCGCAATATTTATCAGGAGGGGTGAGAGGGGGGTTGAGAATCCAGAGGGGTGGAGGCAACATCTAAAATTAACTAGAACTTTAATTGAAAACTGAAAAATCAATGGTGTCAGATTCGAAAACTTCTCAAGAAAAGCGAGGCACGATTTGCGACAACTCTTTATTCACATTCGATAATAAATAAATTCCTGGGGGGGATATGCGGGGCAGAGCTTACTTTATTTCGTTTGCGAGGGGGCAGTAATTACCTTTTTTGGATTTTTTGGCTCATTACTCAACCCCCCTTCCCCCTCCTGATAAATATTACGCAGTTCCTTAGACGAATGAATGAGTAGTGACTGGATGGATAGGAGAAGATTTATAATGAGAAAAAAATATCGATGTCCATGTACTAATCAATGTCTCAAACAATCCATTTTTTGTAGAGCGAGCCGTGGGCAGTCGTTGGAGTCGAAAAACGTCCAATCCCACCTCAAACTAAAAGTCGCRCAGATTTCAAAGGCCGGCAAACAAGACAACATATCAACAAAACCAAGACCATGAACTCAAGCCTTGTCACTTCGTCAGTCTTTCAAGGGGTGAGAGGTGCTCCTCGAAGTAACAGTGCACCTAACATAGGCACTGCATTCAGTAGACAATGGAAGAACGAGCCGAGAAAGACTGCGGAGAGTGCCATTGCCGAGGTCGATTACTCTTGTTACACCGAAATGTTTAAGAACGTCTTAGAGTATTATGGAACAAAGAAACTTAACCCTAAGCACAAGCCCGGGTCGGCGGGAAATTCAAGRGTTTTTTCAATCAAAATATGATGTATTATTATAAGATTATCATGCAGATAAAATATATTTTTGTAATAAGTTCTCTATCGTTTCAGTTCTTTTCCTTAGTTGGTTTTTGTTTTTGCTATCTTTTCTGTTTTTCGTAAACAGCATTGAATATTTAATTCATGATAAAGTCTCCATACTGGTTTTTATTTAGTAACAAAGTTACTGTACAATTTTTAGACTTTCTCTAATGACACCATAAGCCTTGAAGGTATGTGAGCTGAAACCAAGATGGTTKCTCGCTTTGCACGAGTACAAATCCAAAGGACCAGCTGCACTGGCGTCGTCCGTTTGTAGCTTTGATTGAACGGCGACTAAMTTCTCAACGGTTGGGACTATCATCTTGATCCCTCTTTGTCTGAATATCTGCACAAAACGCATGAGAAAGAAATCAATTAACTTCAACAAAGTCACATAACGCTCCTCCACAGATATCACTAAGAGTCACGGGCCTCCTGTCCATTTCTCTAGTTTTTCATTTTTCGTCTCTAATCCCTAGCTGTCAAGGTAGCCGTTGCAAGGGTATTCTCGTACCCAGACCCTTTTCATCTTACGAAATTTAGATATCAAGAGTAGGTTGTGGGTATGAATGTTGCAAAGGAAGCACGAAGGAGGAAAAAAGATTTGCCTGGGGTGGAGGCACATAACCCATGACGACTGGAACTGATATTCTTATAGACCTTATATATTTTTAGCCATTCCCATAGGGAAGATTGCTTTAATTTGTTATGAGTTACATCCATCTTAAAGGCCCAGTTTGCACCATTGTGCTTTGCGCGCCTCTGTTATTGTTATGATTGTCACCAAAACACTTCTAGTATCAAAATATCACCATAAAACAAATGTCAGATGGTTGAAAACTCTAATATTATCCCGTTTAAAGTGCTTAGTAAAGTGAGATGGCCAAAGATTTGAAACGCACAGTACAATGTATAGACTTTCGGTAACCTCTCGTGGACCCCAAAGCATAATGGTGTACACTGGGCCTTTAACCCGTCCAGTTACAAGTCTTTTAAAAACCTGTATTGTGGACTTGATGTCGAAAATGAAGTGCACGGTTATAAGGTCAGCGCTGAGGGGTCTGGGTAAAAGGACATGATTACTAAGAAAACRAACAGTGACAACTAAAACTCGACACATAAGTATCAAAACCTTTTTCACGTCACTCAAGTGTATGTACCTGCTTGTAGCGAAACAAAACTGGCGCCGTGTAAAGTGTGACCACAAAGTGCAAAAAAAAAAAAAAAAAAAAACACATGAAACCACCAGTTTTGGCTCGCTGCGGCTGCCCAGGTCATGTATGTTACCCGAAATTCTTTTACATTTATAGACAAAATCTGTGATTTATCTATAAATGTACATTGTAACATCTGTCATCTACAATCTTTTATAAGTAGTTAATTATGAAAGATTCTCAACTTTCGCAGGCGGTGGATCCATGCAGAAGTATGCATGTCAGACGGTATGGGGTAAAATCGCATAAAACAGCCTATACAGTAGTTTCCAGACCCTGTAAGAAATCATCATATACAAACAACACAGCAGTCAGGTTCTTTGGCTACGTGCATAACAAAAGTAATATTGGCTCAAATAAGATATTTTTTTCATATTGTAGGACGTCAAAATAATTTCAACTCTTACCCCTCCTTTGACACACAGAAAACACAATGTTTGAGGAAAACTAGTTTCGTCTATTCGACCTTATCAATTCCTCTACAACATATTTTTTCCGTTGCAACAATTGATATTGGACACAACCCTGTAGCTGCCCCTATTTCATTCATGAAAGACGAAGATGTACAACGACAAACAAATACCTTCGGCTTTCCGTGAATCTCCACTGACGTCATTTTCTCACTCAAACTGCATTGTGGGTAATTATGGAAACTCATCTGACTCTCTGAACAGCTGATGATGTCRTCGTTTTTGTACCACGTGATTGTAGGGAAGGGGTAGCCAATCACGGTGCAATCCAATGTTACTGACATGTTACTATGCACAGTGATATCAGTGCTGTGTATTTTGGGTGCATGGGTATGCTGAAAATACATCAAGAAATAAAAAATATATAGAGGATATTACATGGATGAACGGTGAAATATGGGAATACTCCAGTTTCAAATTCAAAGCGAATAACCGCTGTTTTATTTGACAGCAGATTCTATTACGCAAAGAACTTACCAAACACAAAAGAAAGCACGAGAAAATGTTGCTTGTACAATAGCGCTAACAATTCAAATTTTCCCCGAGTTGAGGCTAACCCTGTATTCCCAGAAGGCTCATACCTTAGGTCTCATGGGAATACAGGGTTAGTCTCAACTCGGGGAAAATGYAAATTTTGAAGTCTATTGTAATAACGACATTTTCTCTCTATTGTGTTTGGTCAGCTCTTTGCGTAAGAGAATCTATTGTCAAATAAAGCAGCGGTTTTGCGCTATAAATTCGAAACTGGAGTATTCATAGATAATTGTATGCTGAGTTCATATATTAGCTTATCTTCATTGCTTATGAAAGACTCTATGATTGCTCAGTATGTGGTTGTCCATTCGTTTCAGAATACTCCATTTTCAAATTCAAAGCAATTAAATAACCGCTGTTTTATTTGACAGCAGATTCTATTACGCAAAGACACTACCAAACAGAAAAGAAAGCTGACGAGAAAATGTTGTAAGTACAATAGCGCCAATAATTTACATTCTCCCCGAGTTAAGGCTAACGCTGTATTCCCAGAAGGCTTAAACCTAATAGGTCTCATGGGAATACAGGGCTAGTCTCAACTAGGAGAAAATGCAAATTTTCAAGGCTWTTGTAATAACGACATTTTCTCGTGCTTTCCTTTTGTKTTTGGTAAAATCTTTTCGCAAGAGAATCTGCTGTCAAATAAAGCAGCGGTTGTTCGCTTTGAATTAGAAAATGGAGTATTGTGTTSTCGGCTGTACCCGTTTCCCGTTTTTTGTCCCACGTACAATCATTTCAAAACACAATAACTAGTACCGGAAACACATGGATTTCTAATGACTGCAGACAACTTGGCACAAGAACACAGCACGATATCAGAACCTTGCCGGGTGAATCCCGACCACACTATGATCACGGCGYGAAATGTCCGTATTAATGCACACTAATAAGAAAACTGCTCTAATCACACAYTACCGTAACGTTRCATGACAAACCGCACCTTTCAAAGTCACGTGCACATCTGCCTTTGTCTGACCATTTCGATTTGATGCCTTGCAAGTATAATTCCCAGCATCTCTTTCGGTAAATTCCTTTATGACCAAAGAAATGACCGTGCTGTGTTTACAAAACCTGWAAGGCTTACTTGACTTCTCCTGTAAATCCTTCCCGTCTTTGAACCATTTAACAGACGGTGGGGGGTACCCTTGTGCTTCACAGTAAAGTTTTATCTGACTTTTATAGTTAACAATCGTCAGATCCTTCTTCTCAGACTCAATCTTAATCTTTGGTGCTGTATTTTCTAAAGAGATAAAAAAACTTCAGTTGTGTCTTGTTACCCATTAACTATGCCTCCTTCTAAGCACTATAACTTTCTTTCATTTCTATATCGTGTTTATCATAGTGCCATGCGGTCTTCATATTCATATCTTTAAAAAAAACGTCAGTTGTGTCTTGTTGCCCATTAACAAGTCACTACCAAAGTCCCACTTCTAATCGTTCGAATCGCTCCAAAACGCACACTCTAAGACGTTTAGATTGTGCAAGATGGGTCGGGAGCGGAATGGTGTCATCTCCATGTTGATAGCACGTACGATAATATTTGGAGCGAAAATGTATTTCAAATGTATTGTTTGCGTGTGGACTGCTATCAACTTTCCCTCCGCGGCGAACTACATGAATGATTATCGTTTACATAAAGTGTGCATTTAACTATCATTTGCATAATGTCGTGTTGTGAAAAGGACCTTTAAACCTTGAAAAGGTGATATCACCGCAAAGCATTATGGGTATATACATTTCAACGATTGGACAGACACAAGAACAAACCACGCCTACTTTCTTTGCGCAAAGCGCGCGTAAATACAAAATGTAAGTTTTCGATCTGCTTTCATTTACTTAACTCATTTGCGCATGTCAAGTGGTGTTGTCGCGCATCAGATTGAAGCCGATTAGCAACGAAGAAAGATACACTAAAATAATTGAATACAAAGTAATTATGTGATCTTACCAAATACCGCCACTTCAATTCCAGGAGAATATACCATAGTTTCACCTTTGTAAGTAGCCATGCAAGTATAATCGCCAGCATCAGATAATTTAGCAGCTTCGATCTTGTAAGTCAACGTCTTTCGACTCCAATAAAACTTTGGTTTGACAAAGGAGGTYATATTGTCAGGAATCGGGGTGTACTTGTTTTCCACTTCATTTCTCACCATCTTCACTTCGGCAAGTTTGGAAGTGCATTCGCATGTCAGAGTAAGGCTTTGACCAACRATTACATCTGTATCGACACTTGGCAAAATAACGGTGTACAAAAGGTCTTCGGGAATCGTAGGCTTTGCTGAACTAGCGGACACTGTAAAGAAAAATGTGTTGGGATAGATATACACACAAATGTTATTTTTCTTTGTGACAACGTTTTTGCAATTATAATGTGTAATGTCTAAATATTTAACATTAGCTTTGATATTATCAAATATTTATTATTATTCATTTACAGCAATATACAGAAATTATGATCGTTTTTGCTCATATTTCAAGTATATATAAAATACATTAGAAATTATGGGATATCATCRCCAATATTGTTGACTAGCACTAGTATCATTTATTATTCCCATCGCTAGGGTCTCACTATAAAAACAACGCAATTATTGTGAATTCTAAAAATAGTTGATGATAAGTAAATTTGACTTCCCTGCGACGCCGCAAGAGTGCATCTATATCGGGTGAAATGGAGCATGGATTTCAAGTATTTTAGGCCAATTACATCGCGAGTACTACTATTTATAGCTATAATATATTGTTTTAATATTTTTTGAAATAAAGTTCATCATTTTTTTTTTTTTTTGCTAGTTGGCGGCCAATTGGAAATAAAGTCTATTAACTTTGACATTGCAGTTATGACAACAACAGTCTCGTATACACAGCCTGAAATTGAGTGATGACAGGCTGCGAAGGAAAACACGTTTTTGCAGTTTTCTCGATTATCTCATAAAGACGCCGAAACATAGTGCGTGACTGGAAAGCACACGGGATATTTACCTGAGGCAGTTAACAGTAGAATAGCAAACAACATTTTGCACTGTCTTGAATCCGCTTGACTTGGTGATGAACTGTATTTATAATACACTGATCAGTGCTCGGTTATAAAGAATCTAAGTCATGGGTGTGCCAATGAATAGGGCTTGAGAGCATTACTCAGTTGGYTATGTAGACATATAGACGAGGCTTTCTGGCGCTACAACCAGTTGGATGGATTCGATGACCAAGGTCACAGACTTCTTGATTTGTTATATGCATGTTTGCAGGAGTTATGCCAAAATTATCTGTTGTGGACACTTCCGTCTACGTCCGTTAATATCCACCCAATTTATTAGCAATCCTAAAAATATTCTTTAGGTACAGATCTTACAATTTACATTGTAATTGGACGGGAAGAACTGRACGCTATCGAARTGGCATGATTTATCTCTGACGTGAACAAGCGAGCTCCCGGGACCGCCAGAGCTAGAGAAGAGCATTTTCCCGCCAATTTYTGCAATTGAATCAGARAGATTTTATCACTCTGGAGAAGCGAGTCGATCAGGGATAKCAGCTTTTCCTTTTTGCTGCTTATAGGCAAAAGGCTTGGAAGCGAAGAGTCGGAAATAAAACCTAGATAAGGCACTCGCTTGGTTAGCAGAAGAACCGAKTTTTAATGCCTATCGTATAACCCAGCTTAACAAGAAAATAGCACGCYAAAAATATGCCCGGGCGAGCGAGAAAAAAGTTGCGCTCTTGAGCAGACAGCGATTTATACTGTGTARCGTTTTCCGGATCTTTTAAAAGCAGTTGACCTGTGTGGCGGTCGTCTATGTATAAAGTGCAGGGGATACCCACAGACCGGGAGAAATGCGAAGCTAGGAGTCCCGTGGAGTGTGGTAAATGAAAGCAGAAAGTTTCCGCCCAAATGGAATGGTGTTGCTTACAAAGAGGGTCTAAATGGGGTGGTACGCATCGCGACTCACGGCTAGAAATTTGGCGATTTCACGACTCACGACTATTTTTTTCGAATCACGGTTAACTAGATTACTTTTAGAAATTTTTGAATCACGTTTTTCATTGCTTTTTCTTTTTTCGTATGAATAGACTGCGTGATTTATTCGTACGTACATGGATTTTTCTATTTCAAATAAGCCGAAATGCGACTATTTCCACGAAAAAATGATTAATCATAAATTCATAATACACAAAAAAAAATCCAAAAAGTGTTAAACATAGCAGGTATTGAGAACATAGTAGTGACATTGCTGCAGTCCGTGTCTGACATCGGAGTTTACGAAATTTCATCAAGTGTCGCTTTTCGCGATGATGTATTATATGCCGGGCTAAATGTGCATGGTAAAATCAGGAAGTTTGYAGCGTATTCATATTATTATTTGACTCTAAACAAAATTATAGTATTTTAAAATYGATATCTTATATAATTACTTTAAAATGTCAGATATATACCATGTCCGTACGAATAGCAAACATAACTCGGACACTCTGTTTAAAAATTGATTTTCGGTTGCGCAATCGCCGCGCTGTGAAAACCTATTATACGTTAATGAAAAAAAGCCAATGAAAGCGCGCTTTTAAAATATCACATTATAAAAATATATAGAAGTAATAACTGAATGATTCTGCAGATTTTCTAATTAAACATTAATGCATAGGAAGCTAATTCAAAGACAACAACAAAAAGCCAAAAAAAAAAACAAATATGACAAAAGGAAAAACTTGAGTATTGGGATTCGAACCCATGACCATAAAATCGAAAAAAGGTTGGGACGATTCCCCCGAGACATTTTGTGAA